TTTAAAAAGTTTAGATTATTATTATAATTAATAAAATTTAAAGCCAGAAAATCTGAATATTTATTTAAAATCTTTGATATAATTATAAATATAATATTAAAAAGTATAATCTAATCTTTTAAATTCTAAGTATTTTAATATTATATTATTTTGATATAATAATATTTTTAATTTTATAAGTATCTATTATAAAGTAAATTTATTTATTAATTAAAATAAAATTAAATAAAAATAAAATAAAAGTTTAATTTCTTATTTTTTAAATTTATTATACTTAAATAATATGATTTTTTATTTAAGATTAATATTTAAATAATTTGAATAACTTGTTCAAGTTTTTTTGAAAAAATTATTAGTAATTTAATTTTATAAATATTTGAATAATATTTTAAACTGATTTAAATATTAATTTTATTTTTATTATATTTTAAATTATTTTAAAATTAGATACAAATTAAATAATAATTAATTAAACTTGATTAGCAAATATATTGAAAAATATACTAAGAATCTTTATATTATTTATAAATTTTAAAAAATAAATAATATTAATATTTTTTTAATTTACATATTTTTTTGAATTTATCTATTATTATTATTAAAAAAATTATATTTTAGCTCTGCTTGAGATTATTTTTCTAATTAATCTCATTATTTAATATGATTTTTACTAAATATAATTAGAATTATAACTATTATATTATTTAATATTATATAAATTAAAAAATTTTTTTTAAAAAATTATAATATAATTTTTTTAATTACATATATTCTTATAATAATTATTTTAAAAAGAAAATAATAATAATATTTTATAAATTAAATTAAAAAAATAAAAACTTATATATTCAAATAGAATATTTTATATATATATACTTTAAAGAAGAACTTTAATATATATTCTAATCTATAAGTATAATAATCTTTATATTATTCTGTCTTATTTAACTTTTATATATATAATTTTCTAATAAAATTTTACTTAATTATTATCTCTTAATAATATTATATTAAATATATATAAGTTTAATACTAAAAGTATTTCTGTAAGTAAAACTTATATATATTAAATATTTAATAATAATAGTTATCAAACTATATTTTTTATTTTGAACTTAATAATACTAATAAGTAAGAAAGAGAGATCATACATTATTGATAAAATGTAATTTGATATTATACTATAATTATTAATATAATTTTATATTTTTATTTGAATTTTTCAAAAAAGATAATATAGTAATAATAAATCTCACATATTAGATCTTATAATGTAATGAATTCTTAAACTAGATCTTGTATTTTATATTTTAATATTCTTTTCACATATTTTTGTTCTGTATAAAGCAGATTTTATTCATATATAATTAATAAAAGCAGATTTTACTTGATATATTATCAATAAAAGATGAGTTTTACATGATTATAAAAAAAAGATAAATTTTACCTGATACATTACTAATAAAAGATGAGACTTTAACTTTTTTCAACTCAGATTTCATCCTGTTGATTATTTTTTATCAGATTCAAAAATCTGAAATTTAAATTTATCAAATCAAATTAATTTTAATCAATTTTATAAATCTAATATTTGTATTTTTTGGCAAACTCAAGATGGTTTGAACTTCAGATATGATTTTTTTTTAGTATATGATGAACAGAATACACTGAAATTTAATAGTTTCAGTTTCTTAAAGATGATTTTGAATAGCAATGGCAGTGGAACAGTAATAAGATGATTATTCTTTCTAACTGGTCATTTAATAATCATGAATGACCAGACTTATATTATTTAAAATACATTGTTCACACCATTTTTTATTAATATGTGAGCTGGTAGAAGACTAATTTTACAAGTTCTTGCCATTACTCTTGTGATGTACCCATTTTGAAGTGAAATAATTATTTCAGTTCTTTCTTCAAGAGTCATTGATGTTTTGATATTTTTTATTGTTAAAAGTTGTAACGTAGAGATAAACAAAACAATTATTTATTTTGCAACTTCTGTGTAGCATTACTTACCAATAAAGATATCGCCACTGTATGTGATAAAGTAATAAAGTTCCTCAGCAGTTGGTCTGTTTTCTGGAATAGAATTTCAACATTCTTCAATAATAAATTTACGCCATCCGGAAACATAATTAGGTATCGTAGATTGTACTCCTTTATAAATGTTATATACAAGGCACGACTCCGTTCATCAAACGGTTATCCACCGTTATAATCTCGTGCGTACTATTCTAAAGCTATAAATGTCTGCCGATTTAATGTATAGCCTTCTATTTGGACTCATATAAGGAAATATTTCACAAGTTTCTTGGATAGATTTTTCTATTTCTGTTAGAATAATAAGTCCAAAATCAGCAGTTTGAGGTCTATTGTGCACAAATTTTTCTATTTAATTTTTGTTAGATCATCGTAGTTGGTATTAATACCATTATATTATCGTTATATAACGATAACCTGTTATAATCAAATCGATTAACCAAATATGACCGATTTTTATTAAAAAATCACGAACCGGTTATAAAATTAAATCGGTTATACCGATACATGTATAATCCCAATGGCTAAACCGGTTCCAAACTCTAATACAGTACATATACATGTGATACATGTATGAATTGATTGTGCATCATGACACATGTACATGTGTTAAGGTGCGATGTATCATTAATTGTTCGTGTAAAATTTTATTACTATATTGCAAAATGAAAGTCTAGCGTTATATGACGAATAGCCTAAAGCTATGGTACACTGTAATACGGAATTCGCGGACACTCAATCATAACAATATTGAAACAAATAGATAAAGTTGGATACCAATAAATAAAGCAATTTGTTTAACAACTACTTTCGCCACTTGCATTACAATTGATTTTTTGATATCGATTCTTCTTGGATGCTACAAAACACATGTAATATTTTGACGAAAACTAATGACATTCTTGCGAATATAATAGAGTTAATCGATAACAATGCATTTAAGTTAAAATTTCTATGAATCTCTACCTGAATTTGGATATTTGAAAGCAACAAATGGAATTGGAATAATTGGAATTCAATAAAAAAATTTACGTATCTAAAATTCTAGAGCGGCATAGGTTGAAAATTAATAGGCAAATGCAAAAACTAAAACCATTCGATATTCAAATCTCCGGAGATGACTGGTTAAAGGACAATGCGAGAAAACCTGAAGATACGCAATTCAGCCTTTAAATGCTATTACAGCACAGTATCGGTACTGTATCCCGAAATGAAACAGAAAGGGATATTAAGAATCTGCATAAACAAAGTATTAGTTCGGATTTGGAATTCAAAGATCTTGATATGTCAGAGAATACGACAAAAAATTCTTAAAAGCAGAATTAAAGAACCAATAATTATAATCATTAGAAACACAAACCATGCACATGGTAACATTTTTATAGTCACCAATATTTATGAATGCATTTATATGCTCTCTGATTACATGTGTTACCTTCTAAAATGCATTCTAATCATATGGTTCTGACGAATTGACTGCACGGCATGTTGAAATCAATTTTATTTTGATATTTTGCTTTAGTATTAGTAATACATGTATATCGTTAAAATTTTCATTGATTGTACTAGAATAGTTGAAGTAGAAGTTAGCAAATCAACAAATCAGATCACAATCATAGTATTTTCAGAAATATTAATTTATCAATCGAAAATCAAAAATTAAATTATTAAGTTTATATTTAATGAAAAATAAAGCAGCTCATTTTCAGATTGAATTTTATTATGCAACAAAAAATTATCATATTAAAACTATTGTATTATTCTTTTTAAACATTTTATAGAAATAAATATGTGAAATTTTGAGCTGCACATTCTACCTAAGAGTTAATTATTGGAGGAAATTTTGAGATATTGATATTTCTTTTGTTTACTTACGATTTTCAAATATATGTTGATTTTTATTTAATGAAAAAATATTACTCTTTTTATACAGTTATATTTTCCTAGTATCGTAAAATCCGGTGAATAAGCACCTTTTTTTTTGCAACAGGTGGTGGCCAAAATTTCTAATAATGCTGATCAAAATAGTTATAATGCTCATTCACGGTATATGTTATTGAAAGATATAAAATCAAATAAAATATGCATTTAAAAAATAAAATACATTAGAAAAATGCATTTGAAGAGATCTGATTGTATTTTATTATATTTATTGTATTTCTTAATAATTTACTAAATATATATATTTATTTTTGAAAAAAAGCTTGTATTTCAAAAATTTTGCCTATGAAATTACTTTTTGTATCCTAATAAAAATATAATATTTCTTGCAATATATTTTCTGTTAAAAAAATTTTAACCCTAATTCTAAAAATATTATTAATATTTACAGTATATATCTTGATTACCTATTTAAAAATTATGAGCATCACATAGCCTGAACTTTTCATGATCACTCTGATAAAGTCAACAATTATTATATATTAGTATTCATAATCTTGAGCTTGTAATAAAAAAATTAATATTTGCAAAGATAAAATAATTTATTTTCAAATCATAACAATCCTGGTGCTTATATTAATGTAGTGCATGTAATTCTGTTGAGTTGTTATTATAATAGTAAAAGCAATATATCTATTCAGTTTATGTCTAATTTATTCTACAATTAAATACAATATTACTAATAAAACATAATTAAGGAAAATTCTATTTTAAGCAGAAAACTGAAATTAAAAAATGACTATATTTAATCATGATCTCTATCAACTAATTGTTTCGGGCGAAACTATTTTCCCTGGGAAAACATATGTAGATCAAATTAACGTTAACATTAAATTTCCCACAATTTTGTTACCGTTACATCATCATTTTGTCATCTATCGTATTCATGACGCATGCGACCGACGGGTGTTAAAAATGACGTTTCGTTTATTGATGCTTATCAAGTATATAAAGCTTTTGTCTTATAATTAAAAATAAGATTTCACAAACTTTATCAAAAAATTTGAAACAAGATGTCGAGTATTGATACTGCCAAAAACACGAGTAACCAAGTAAATGCGGAAAAAAATGTTCCCTTGGAAAGAAAGTTGGATGATTTATATAAATTAATTGATGGGATAAAGGTAAAAAAACAAATAGAATTTTAATTTTTAGTTAATGGGATTATCATTATATAATTTTTGTTTCATTGATAAGACTTGTATGATGACTACTCGTCGAGCAGGTACGATAAAATACATTTACATGCATAAATCTCGCATTCATAACCATCTAACTAAATATTCTATGACATACAGATGGCTATCTAGTCTCACGCCCAATGTACACACGCAACAGAACACCTGCAGCTGATATCTGGTTCATCGGAAACAATCAATCACAAAAATTTGATGAACTTCACACTGATCCCCATGTGAATCTCGCTTATTATAACGGCTCGACCCAGGAGTGGGTAAGCGTTTCAGGAGTCGCAAAGGTTGTTAATGATGATGAATTGGTTAAAACTTTGTATACGCCTGATTGTAAAACGTGGTTTGGAGACTTGGGTGATGGTATTCATGATGGATCAACTTCTGATCCGAGAATTTCGCTGGTATGCGAATAGTTTATTATAGTTCGTTGTGCTATTTGTTATAGCAAATATAATTGTGAAATTTTATTAAAAATATAGATCTTCGTTGAAGCGAATTCGGTATCCTATTCCAAACGAGACGAGTATGCTCTTGTGCAATGGTTCACAATTGCCAAAGATTCGATCTCTGGTAACTATTGCTTTTATTTACGATATCCTCGATTGTTTGATTTTTCAGTAAAAATATATTTGACTAAATAAATTTATCTAATCAGACGGACTCTCAAAAATTTTACATTAATATATCTTACTATCTATGAACTTGCGTAGCATAATTTTTATATTTTAGCAAGAAATTGTGAAATTACATGTATAACGCATATTTTCGAGTTTTCGTATACGAAATAATCGAGCAAACTATATGTACTACGAACAATACATGTACAAGTTCGCCTGAATGATCATGAAACCTGTTGCTCCGCTATCGCTAAATTCTCTCCTACATATTTACTTTTTTGTATTTAAGCGATATCTTTAAAAAGTCCTCATAGGTTCATTTACAATGCACACGTAATCGTTACATTCATTGTTCAATAAGCATTTAAAAAGGATCCTCTCCCCATTTCGGAAATTAAGAAACATTTTTACAGTTTCTAGAATACGCATCCCTATGTAGGCATCTTCCGTGTAATTGCGCGCCGAAACCATATAGAAACCCGTAAAATTTAATATAGGTAAATAATTTTTTCAAGAATTTTCAATATTGATAATTTCTTTTTCTCTTAATATGTACCATATTTATCTATCTTTTTCTAATCATCGTTTTATCATTCATTTCCTCGCATTATACTTTTTTTCTTTCTATGATAACGATTGACCTGCGCAGGAAATTACGTTATAAAGTAATGTCATTATTTTGAAATCAAAATAATCATATACAACTCTATATGTAGCGATTCTCTATCAAAAATGTCGATATATTTGCTTTACATACCCAAGTGTTATATGTGATACATGTGGCGAATTACTATGTATTCATTTTAGCAACACAGCCCGGAGTTATAAGTCTTCCATATCGGGTATGATTTACACATGCTTTTAAAATTATGTATAAAAAACGAAGGAATGTGGACTCCGTGGGTTTTTCATTATTCTTATACTTTATACACGCAGAGGAAGTCTATCTCTAACAAGGAAATATATAGTGAATAATATTATTGAATACAAAGAAATAATAAAAAAATGAAATTATTACAATTATTACTAAAAACAGCAAATATCAGTCAAACAACGAAAAGGATATCATTAGCAACAGCAATAAAAAGCATAATATTCTATAGTCTACTAGCAACTGAGTCCGTATTAGCGGCGACGACGAAGACTAATGTTAGTTCAAGTAGAAGTAGCTCTAGTACAAATTGGGTTTTTTGGTACTATGTTTATAATGGCTCTGGATATGACCGTCGTTGTGGAAATTATTGTATCTTGACATTTTGTCTTCTCGGTTTTATAATATTTACAATAATTGCTTGTGGCGTTTATCGGTGTTGCGGAATTTATCACCGATCGAAAGAAGATACTCAACTGATTACCCCCCCTCATCTTTTTCCAGTTAGTCAACCCCCACAAACACATGACAATTATTACTCACCTATAACTACACCAACAAGTGTTTATATTCCTGATAATCCGCCGCAATATAGTGCATCTAATAACAATCAATCAAGTTATCTTACAAAAACATATGGAACATCCGCATCAACGCCTCCTGATGACCATCAACGATATATTTTATCGATGGGTGGAACAAAGGCATGGAAATTCGAGTTTGAATCTGCTCCTTCTCCTGTGTTAGGTCAACACTGGCCAGCTACAGTCAATGAAAGAATAGTTATGTTGCATCCAGCGAGAGATGTTGTTGTTTCTCTGCTGACGAATTATCCAGCCTTTGTACCGTCAGGAGCAATTATTACTGATAAAAGTAGAGAGTTGCTTCATTACTTTGAGATTAAAATTTTAGTTAATCCGAATCCATCAAGAATAAAGATTGCGATTGGATTAGCTACGAAACCCTATCCAACAAATAGGTATTTTTTTTTTCACTTTTAAGTTTGTTTATTAAAAATTACTTATAATAATTATTTTATATTCGTAGGTTTATAGGACTAGAGTATGAATCAGTAGGATATCAGTCTGATACTGGACAATGCCTTCACAACAATCGTTCTGAATTAGGATACGATTATGGTCCGAAATTCGGAAACTTAGGCGACGTCATTGGGTGTGGTTATTACCCTGCTTCCGGAATAATATTTTTCACGCTAAATGGCCAAAGCCTTGGTAAAGCATGCGAAAATCGCCAAGTTTGGTTTCCAGCTGTTAGTGCAAATGGACCTTGCAAACTTGAAGCTAACTTCGGTGATCCAGATGATGGTGGATTTTTGTACCCAAATGCTCGTGGTTTTGGAATCGGTGCGCCATTCTTATAAGGTTGTATCGAATTATGCGAACACGAATCAAAAAGCTTTATACAGTCGCGCCCCCAAGTGCACACACTATATAGCGCCTCTCTAAGTGCACGGTATCATCTTATAAGCGCTCTATATATAAATGCACACCCTCTCTAATGCACACTGCATTTTTTTACTATGGTCCCAGGGATGCACTTTGGGAGGTGCGACTGTAATGTACAAAAAATAAAAAATTTAAAAAAACACCCTAATTTTATATATATTAATAATTAATATGTAAATATGTATTTTTAAATATTTTTCGCATCGCATTATACATGTACATGTAATAGTATCAACTTAATCATTTAATATTTTATTTTAAAATTTTTTCATTTTAAACCACATGTATTATAATTATCACTATATAATTTTTATACACATGGTATTACCAATTTAATTAATTAGCACATATTAATATAATTGACGTAAGGGTGCACAGGTAAATTTTAATTAATTTACAGTTCACTTCCACGATACACTTGTACTATATTTTTGTCCTTGCATCACACATTTTTAAAAAATTGCTGTGGTTGATCGGGGATACACCCGATTGACTTCAGTACATATATTTAATTAGTGATGGTAACAGATTGGTTATGTTAAAGCGAAATCATAAAGTATGCACGATTTCATTATTTAAACCCATGTAAAGAATTATAAACATTAAAGTTTGAAATAAAACTTAGTAAAGATGATATTATAGAGAATTTTTGATATATGAATCAGACAATTATTAAGCTTGTCTTGGAACAATTTTTATAGTAATATCCTTCGAAATTCTTGTCGAGATTTGACATAATCACAACCCTGGCAACCACATGAATTATTGTTGATAAAGAACTTGACTAAAATGAATCTGCTAGCGAAATTATGTCAAGGACAAAAGTGAGATCGAGGAAATTAGAAAAAAACTGGCACTTCTAATTGGCTTGTCGTATCCGACGTTTCAAAAATCTCGAGACATAGAATACCATTACGGCTTTTTTATTCAAAACTGAATCAATGAAATAATTCTTACTTTAATGTTATCTTCCAGACTTTACCCTTGTTCGAATCCTAATTTTTGCTTTATATATACAGTAGGGATGTTATCAGTTTGAACGGTTCAACCAAACCAAACTGGTTCAAGCCATGGTTTCAAACTGCGGTTCAAACCATGATTTCAATCTGTGATTTCAAACCATGGTTTCAAATGGTAATTTGAATAGTGATCCTAACCAGTTAAGAATTCTTAACTGGTTAACCGTACAATGTTTTGGCAGTTAACCACGGTTATTCGGTTCTATTTCTATATATAGTGATTTTTAGTTGTTAAAATTAATAGGATAAAGAACTTATGAAAGCGAGTATAAATCTATTAGTACATGTACATCGTTACTTATCGTTCTCGTAATTTTTTATTCTGATAACTATAAGAGTAATGATCAAAATAATAAATATATGCGCGTAAATACAAAGAAATTGAAATCACTTTTGGTTCGTGTCGTGTTAAGTTTTACCTTCGTACGGAACACTTGTAGAACCATATATTAAAATCAATCTGAAATGTCATTTTGATTATAAAAATAAATGAACGGTACCTGTATTAGTTGGGACTGATAATAATTTCGAAGTAAACATAATTGCATTTGAATGGATTTGTTGTTTTTTTGTTTATATTTGGAGAATGTTTTTTATCCTCATCAAGTTTATGTCTCTCAAGTTTAGAAATATTCTAAAACAATTGAAGCAATTAAAGAGCATCTTAAAGAGGTGTAGTACTGAAAATATAAAAAAATTAAGTTCTCATAAACGTTGTCGTCATCGTCATCTTTTTTGTCATTTTGATAGTCATCTGTAGTTGGTATAGGATCCCAATAACGATAATAAATTTGCAACATTAAGGAATATTATACTGTATGTACATGTATTATAAGTCATAACGATAATCATGACTTCGATCACCAAATCATTCATTAGTTACACAACCATCCCAAAGTTATAACCAATCAATCAGAACATTGATACCATATTTGAACTTTGTAGCGAAAGAAAATTTTAACCGGCCAACTGGTTAACTGATTAATGCTTAGCAACTGGTTCAAACCGTGGCTTGAACCAGCTAAATATCTGGTTCAAACTATAGGTTGAATAAGTTTAATATTCTTAAATCAAACCATGTTTTGAGCAAACTGATAACATTAATACACGGTGTCTTAAAAA